AAAATAATAAATATGCTTCTTAGACAGTTGCTGCTGGCATATAAAGCGACATGGCATTTGTTTTTAAAGGAGTTAAATGTATGAATATGACCATTCAGATTGTTACTTAGAAAGCAAATGTTTGCTAGAGTCTTATTTTCATCACTGATATGCATAAATTGTAAAAGAGGATACATAAGCAGATTAGTTGAGGACAAACAATACATTAAACGTCATTGTCCATATCCTGAAGAAGTATCTGTAAATGCCATGGAGTGTAATGCATAGTTATGTCTTTTAATGCATTGTAAATGTGCCTTACATCTTCATTTTATTGTAACAGTGTGCAAATTCAGAGTGTAGGCATTACATTTTGAACTGAAGTTTCAATGTTTTATCAAAATGATGGAATTATATGGGCATAATGAAGGATGCCAATATTCGCTCTGACTTACAGGCAACCTGTTTCATTTGCATATCTGTCATTCACAGTCTGAACCCTGAGATATGCTCATTGTTCTTCCTCATCAACTTATCTGTAGAGTATGTATAAAGATGTTTTGTCTTTCTGTAGCTATTGTGAATATCTCATTATTCATCAAATACATATTAACAAGGAATGGAGATATTAACAAATGTTTGAACTTAGTTTGACCCATTTGATGAGATCATGATAACGAGCCATACTGTTTGTTATGAAGGAGGTCATTTCTAAGGTTACAATGAAATATCCTTAGTTTGCCTTTTGTTAGTGTGTAGAGGAGGAACACAGAGTTACTGGAAAATGAAAAAGAAAAAATATTTTAATGATTTCTGAATGCATTTTTCTTGAACTACTCTTTGAGCTTTTAATTAGAAAATGACACCGATAGCTGTCTAATGCATTACCTTAGTTTAAAAATTATGCTTCCCTTCTATGTGTGTTTACCATTGTTTCATGTGATGACATTTCATGTTTTATTGGTCGCAGCTGAAGCTTCAGTTGACCCTTGTCCCCACAGCACAATAGTATGTCATCTCAAAGATGTAAATGCATAGCATTGCAATGGGGAAAAAAAGTACTCAATTTATAGAAACAAAACAATTCAATGATCAACCTCTTTATAAGCCTCCTTCGATGGGTAATTTTGTCATGCTTTCTACAGCAGGATCAAGATTGTTGCAATAGAATCTTTGCGTTGGAAATAGTCTTTAAAGGCTCATACCGTCAATGCTTCTGTGAGTTGACAAGGGATTTGACAATTCCTGAATCATCCAAAGACAATTATCAAATCTAACGTGGCTATCTCTTCTCCCTTTTTCCTCCGCATTAAACCTATCTAGCTATCTTTACCTCTTCTCTGAGGTTTTATTTTCCAAACCATTTACTCCTTATTGTTATTCATCTTTAAACTGTCTCCAGTTTATCTGTGTCTTTTCTGACATGTGGTACTCAGAACCAAAAGCAGCATTTTCTAGCACTGTAAGCTCATGTCATTTCATTGTTGGTAAACCATTTGCAGTCTGATTTCGATACTTTCCCCCATCTCTTTGAGTGATTGCATGGCTTTGCCAGTGCATGAAAGTGGTTGGGCTGCTAGCCAGAGGCACGTGCCTAAAAACCTCAAGCTGTTCTTCTGACAAGTCTAATAAGCAGGCTACTTTCTGGTCTTGGTGTGCTGGTTAAGATGAACCACGTAAGCTAGAAAGGCCATACAGCACTGACAGGTATTAGCTTCCCAGCTGGCATCATGCTGAATGCAATTCTGCATGTTATGTTTGACTGGTTTAGGGTAGCACCTCATGTAGCCACTGGAGAAAATAATTCCATTTCAATCATATGAGGACCCTTTACAAAGCTTTTTTTATAAACACTGAGGGATGTAAAAATGATTCACTGATCAGGCCAACACAGTAAGCAAAATAAGTTCATATTATTGCACTAGCAAAATGGGGAGGGAAGGAAAAATTAGCAAAAAATTGATTTAATTGTTACTTGCCATGCCTTTTTTTTTCCTTTGCGCCATTGCTAATCTTTGATCAGATGTTAGATTGTTTTTAGTTAACTGGGTTTTTTCCTGTACCATGTAGCATTTACCAGTCTCATAATCACGATTCCTAGAGCTTTTCTGTATCTTAGTAAGTTAACTTCGAGACAAAGGCTTTCTTTCATACAGCACAGTTGTTACAAAAGAGCAGTACCCATAGGAATGCAACCAAGTATAAGAATTGGTCTCGTGTGTACCTTTGATGTTCATGAGCCACATCTGAACTTGAGTAGTTCTTCTGCATATGTTTAGGAGCACGTGTGTACATCAAACTAAGTCCTTCATAATTATTAGATGTTTCTTCAGTCCAAATCATAACTTGGAGCAAGCCTTGTTACTGAGTGAATTACTTTATGTGCAGCTTTGTTTCCTGTGCTTTTGTAATGGCTAATTATGTGTAGTAGTAATATTATTGAAGGTCATATCACGGTTTCAGAGTGGAAGTAGTGCAGTCATTCATTCACAGAATATTCTCAATTTCTTTCTGCTACTTTAAACACAAAAGATGAAGTACCATATTCTGATTTACTGGCACTTTTTTATAGTCTGCATATTTTTGAAACATAAAAATGTAGCATGCTGCTGCCGTTACTGATTCGAAAAACAAGGTAAATTATTTCCTCTAAATTCACCTATAGTATGATTATGTTTAGCCACAAGTCTGACAAACATACCAGTACGGTATCATCTCACCAAAACAAATTGTCTAACGGTAGCAGAGGACAGGTCCTTTGTCAGACAGAGAGATTAAGACAGCATTGCTTCTGAATCTGAGATTCAGAAGGATCAGATTGCTTATCACTAACAAGTCTTTCTTATTTTAAAAATCAAACACATAAAAACTTACCATCGTAACAATTTTCCCTGTGACTCCTGTTTGCTAGTGCTAGTTTCCACTTTTAGATCTGTTGCCTCTGCCCCACACAGGCAGTTTTTACTCAAGCAAGATGGATATACTAGGGGAGAAATGCTGCTGGGTGGCTGGGCGAGACGCTGAATCATACTGACCAGCTGCAAAAGACAACAAACATTAACACTTTTTTCCTCCCCCCTCAATTATGTCAAGTGGTAACATACTGAGACTGATACCGAATGTTTTACTGTACTCCAGCAGTTATAGGCATCAAAATTACCAGATTGGCATGAACCACAAAACATCAGTTTAGCAGTATAACATTGAAGAGAACAAGAATGCATATATGTTGACTAAATGTGCATATGTAAATTGAATTAATGTTTCCTGGCAGCAGAAAGGCAGCTCTTAATATTGAAACATATGTTGTGCTAAGTGTTGTTCAGTATAAGAAAAAATGCTATCTATTTACAGTCCACTACATCAGACAACAGCCAAAGAAATATATATGTATTAGGTGTGCATAACATACTCATAAGCATGTACCGGTATTGCTATTTCTTTATAAAAATACAGACAGGCACAAATATCATATCTGATGCCCTATGCCAACGATCAGTGGGCTCATTAGGTGCCCTGGCATCATCAGCAGCATACCACAGGAAAGGCAACACAGAGGACTTGGCCCTTGTCATGTATGGAAACATTTTACACCCTCTGCTACAGCTTTATCTAATTACAGGCTAAGTTAACTTCAAGACCTTGAAGCTCTTCCAAGTCACTGCAGTACCCCATTACTGCAGGAAACATACCATAATCTCTTTCACCAGTTAATAAACTACGTCTCTAAAGCATCAGTGTTCTTGCTACAAATTGGAAGAGTGTTCGAGAACCTCAGTGCCCTAATGGCTAGATACCATCTCCTAATTTCCAGTTGAAAATTCTCAATGGTCAGTTAACACTCATTTGTTCTTGTGCCAGTGTTGTCCGTTAGCACAGATATTCACTTAGGATGGCAGAAGGCTATCTCCTTGATGTATTTATAGCCCAGTGATATCCCCTGTCTTCAGTTTCCTGGACCAAACAAGCCAAATTATCCTAATCTTCGCTTTTTAAATAGGCTCTCTACTTCTCTGATCATCCTAATAACCTTTCCTGCATTCATTCTGGGTCATAATCTCAGAGTTGAGTGATCAGACTTACACAAGCTTTCTACACAAAGCATAGCTGTGCCTTCTATAATGATATTGATACATTTCTAATTTCTACTTCTTTCTGCATAAAACCAAGCATTGCTTGTGATTAAAGACTAAAAGGCATTAGCAATCTATGTTTAATGAAGGGGCTTTTAAAAAGCGGCTGTCATGCCAGCTGCATTTCAGATGGCTGCAGTAAGCATGCTTTCTATTCAGTACACATTTCAGAATTTTCATGATCTTTTCTGGCCCAATTGTTTTTCATCTCAGAATATAAAAATGGGTTAATGCTTACCTCAGAAGTACAGTAGAAGTAGCTCTTAAATAATACCTCTGTTCTTTCCTTTTCTTCTCTGTTAATTGTTTTAGGAAGTGCTGGCCGAAATTGTCAAACTAGAGATTTGTTTGGTCTTGAAATAGAACAGTCTGATTCCCAAGGTGCCTACCAGTTACAGTAGTATTTTTGAATACTCACCATTTATGTCAGAACAAAGCTTTTATTTTACTTACAGTTGTGGATTTAAGCATGATGAAGTTCGACAGTTTTGTCCACTGTATTTAATATTTTTAATATGAGGAAGTTTTTCCCATGTCTTGATTTATACTCATCTAAAATCTGCAAAAAGATGTGCATTTCTGTCAGCGGCAACTGAGCCTCCAGTACTCCTGAAAGGTTTACAACTGCAAATGCTTCAGTTCCATCAGGTCTGCCAACAACAGCCAACCTTCGACGTCATGCTATGGTCTTCGGGTCACGCTAACCTGCCTGAAACAAACTTCACTTTCATTGCAGATAAACATCTGCTGTTGTCCATGTTACATTGATTAACATGTATGTGCCATTCATTCATACTTCTATTCATGGTTCATTTTTACTAAGCATGTAATGTGCTATTACTCTGCTGCTGTATACATTTTGTATACATTTCTGTTCTTCCTTGAAAGACTGTGAATGCTTCGGGCACTCCAACCGGTGCAGTTACATCGAGCTGCTCAATACGGTCATTTGCGTGAGCTGTAAGCACAACACTAGAGGTCAGCACTGTGAGTTATGCAGGCTGGGCTACTTCAGAAATGCTTCTGCAGAGCTGGACGATGAAAATGTTTGCATAGGTCAGTCCCGGGATAACTGCGCCTTTTCTTCTGTGCCTTTTCAGCTACTGGCAGCTGCTAGGGACCACTGCTGCTTACTTGCCAGTTGAGCCAGAATGAGCTTTTTCAATGGATAAGAACATCTGTGTAGACTTTTCACCCCATTTCCGTTGCCCCTGTAGCCCCAAGGAGGTATTTTGATTCTGTATATGATGATGAACCTCCCTGGCTAAGGGTCCTGGGAAGACTTTCCCAGGACGCCTCTAAGAAACTGATTGTGCTGTCCTTCTGCAGGAGGGAGCCGCACTGGAGTTGCGCATGTGAAAACTGAAGGGTTGAGTCATAAATACCTGTTCCCAGTCTAACTTTCGGAAGTATTAGTACAGGCTCTTGAGTACTTGCCTGGACATCTACAAAAGTTGCCAGCTGCATCAATAGGACATGGGGAGTGGTGTTTATTAACCCCTTTTATTCACTTAAATTTCATAAAAACACATTGCAGCTAATTCTGCTCCCAGGCACAGGGCTGTAAATGCAGTGTTACTTCCCGTCTCCTTAGAGGAGAAACTGAAATTATGCCCCTGTGGTTAGGAGCAGAATTTATCAAATCAGTCTGACATTATGTCAATTCAGAAAAGGGATTCCTAGGTGAAAACCATGCTTAAACCTAGTATCTGCTATAAAATCCAAAATGCGGAATTAAAGACAATGTCAGAACATAATAAAAAAACTGTATTAGGAAAAAATATAAGATCTTTATCACACTAGAAGAATATGCATTGTTTGCATGTCACCGCAGACAGTATATAGCAAAAGTTAGGACACTTTAGGTGAAGACTGAATGTAGTCAATAAAGCAAGCCTCATACAATGGCCAGTAGTTAACAGGTAGCCACAAAAGATGCTGTTCTACTAACAAACAGAGATGGAGAATTTATTATATAATGTTTCTGATAGACACAAGCATCGACAGAACCCATTCTGGATTTTCACTGTGATTTTTTTTCTTTTCATTTTCCAGGAAGCAAAAAGGAAGAGTAGTTATAAGATTTTTTCATGCCAAAGTAGACTATGGGTGTATAAATTATATTTTAATATTCTTTATAATCCATTGCTGAGATTCAAGCCAGAAACTATTTAGGTTGCTATTATTTATTTCAGTCTGCAGCTTTACAGATTTACATTTTATTTTGTGATAAACACCCAGATCCATCTATGCACTGCATTTCACGTGTCCTTCTTTTAACTTTGCTTGGCAACACATTCAGAAAATGCATGATCTCTTTTGACGTTATAATTAGTCTGAGCTAATAAGAACTTTAGTAGGCAAGTCATGATTTTGTATGACTGTGCTGAGAAGATTAACCCAATCAAATGTTCCTGGAAAAAACCCACTGTCCCTCATATTTTTTTGATGTAGATGACGGACATCATCGGTATGACATCAGGGCTGTATAATTTCAGCTGCCTAAATAGGCCTAATAAATATGACACTAAATTACTCTGTTTGGGATTTTTCGTCAGCTCATTCAGTAAATTGGTTTCCCATGTACACTGAAATGCTAAGACAGCAGCTGTAGCTACATAAGACAAGGAAGTTAATAAACCAGGAGTCAAAAATAAGTAAATTTTAAATTAATTTTCGGGTCATGTATTTAAAATGTCTTAGTAAAACAACTGTGCACTTCAAAATTGCCCGGACTCTGCAGAAATAAAACTAAAAAACCTTTCATTTAACAAGGGTTTTTTTTTAAAAAAAAAAAAAAAAAAAAAAAGGCAATGAGGTGCATTTGCTGACTTTCCCACCTTAATGCAAGCAGAGTTCTCTCGGGCTCCCATGAGAATTGTACCATGCGAGATGAGTATAGGATCAACTAGGACTATGGTTTGCTACATATTAGGTAATTTGTTTTAAATAAATAATATTCTTGTTGGACTAAGACAGTTTTCAGGATCATAGTGATCATACTGCATACAAAATGTATGTATCCTAGCTGATTTGCCAACTTAAGAAGACTTTCATACTTCTTGTTTAAAGTCAGTGAAGTGAAGCAGATACCCAAGCGCTTTTCAGAAAACAGAGAAGTCTGTGCTTAAAGTGCTTAGGAACTGGGGCTCCTAAGATTTAATCCTGCGAAGTGTAGAGTATTTTCACCTCTGAGAGAATTGATGGATTCACCATCCTTCTAGGTCAAGCACAAAGAGTTTTGCTCTATTGGAAACGCTCATTTCTCTTTTCTCTGAGTTTAAAAGCAATGTTTTGGGTTTTAAGTATGAGTGGAATGTTGGCATGAACATTTTAATAAGCAGATTTCCAGTGATATGTGCAAGTCTTATTCCTGTATGAAAGTCTCATTTTTCCAGGCTAATTCTTTCCTCTTCAGCCATATATGTAGAAAAGTAAAAAATGTTTGGATAAGCTAGTTTAATAGCAGCTAACAGGGCTTTGGCTCTGATTTATCAAAACTACATATGCAGTTTTCATAAATATATATGGTAAGTACATGGATAACAAACCTGTGAATCTTAGCTGATGCTAACTAAATGGAGAAAATGTAAAATGTTTCATTTTTAAAACTGACAAGTTACAAAGAATTGAAATACTGAGAAGGTTTTTACCAGTGAACCAAATGCAACACATTATACAGTGGGCTTAAATCTAATTTTATTATGCCCTTAATTTCTTCAGAAGCAAAATAAATTTTATTTCCTAAAATGAAATATCAAAAATTTTTGGATTTGTCAGTTAACTGCAAAATTACCTCATATGGGCAACTGTAGTTTCTAAATAAATCAAGGTATTTTGAAGTTAGAAATCATTCACTTGACATGCTTACAGTGAAAAAGAATTTAACAACTTGAAGAGCTTTTTGTTTTTACAGGGTCTTGATAAAGTCCTAATACCTCTTTATTTCAGTGAATACATACACTGGCAAGCATGGATAGCACGGAAACCACCAAGTAGACCCAGAGTAATAAAACATTTCCTTTGCCTTACAACATAAATACTGAAATGGTAATTATTGTCACACCTATAAGAAAGCCAGCCTTGCATTCACTTAGGCTTAAGCTTCAGTTAACACCTGTGAGACCTTTAGAAACCCTAATGATACATGGTTGAGTGAACCCTGAGGTTTGTCCTGTGGCCACTGTCAACCCAGACTGATAAGCAGCAAGCCTGCAAGCTTCAGCCCATTTTCCCAACCTTCTTTTTTACTTATTTTCATTGTGTTTTGTCAGCAGCATCACATTGGTATAGTGAATCTCAGTGAACAGGTGACTATTACTGTCATCTTCCCATCCTTCAGACAGTCACCAGATGGAGGTTAGGAGGAAAATTCCTTCCCAGTTCAGATCTGCAGGGTTTTTTTCCCCACCCTGGAACCCGATGTCTGGTCTGCTTATTAGGATGATCTGGGAATGTTAATTTAATGTTATTTAATGCCTGTTGTAAGGGCATTGGAGATACTGACTGCCTCCCTGTGGCACACCGGAATTGGGGCTTTTGAGCTTTTTAATGTCTTTAAGTATGTGGCAGGTCTTGGGAAGCGTTCCACAGCCTGTGATACTGTGTTGGACAATGAGCTTGGATGTTCAGTGGACCTCTGTAGGTTATATATCAATTGTGTATTGGGAGAGATGGAGGCTAGATTCAGTTACTAAAGGTTACTGGGTCTGTGTGGTGTTCTGATTTGATCTACTACTTTTGTAAAAGGGCCTGGCTTAAAGTTTTGTTTCCACTATCTACTTTCCCTTAAACAGCACAATATGGGCCTGGTACTTCTTACGTATTTATATTATAGAGTTCAGTAAGAAAGCTTTCACTTTCAGGGTCAGGTTCTTGTTCTCTGGAAAATATAACATTATGTAGCTATAAACATTCAATATCATACGCCATAGATTTCTTTCACAAACACTTGTTTAAATCACTGTAACTCCATTATGTCCAACTAAGCTATTTTTAATGTATAAGAATTGGGCCTTCTGTTTCTAATGTAATTCCAAGCTTTTTGTCTTTCAAGGTTTTCTATAAACACTCTTAAGCAAATTTTACTTCCTGCATTCAATATGTATCTCAGTTCTGTGCCTGTTTACATAAACATTTCATACATCTGATTAACATCAGAATTGCCAGCTTTTGAAATGGCACTCACTGTGCTATAATTCTGCTCAGCCTTGCACAGTATTTTGGCGTGTCAGTTTTCAACTTCATTAATGAAGGTTGCTAGCTAATTGACTCTATTATTATTGTGGAACTCTGTTTGCCAAAGGTAACTATTCTTCAGCACGCCAAATGTTCAAAGAGCCATCTGTAATTTATAGTTAATAAACACTGAGACAACAGATGACAAATGTCTTCCTGGTAATTTTTTTCCTGTTACAGTCTTTCCTTTGGATTTTTTTAATATTTTACTTCCCAGTTCAACTCCATTTTGTCATGTACAATATTGCTCAGGTTTAACCTACTGCGAGGGAACAATTGCCAAAGGTAGTCATCAAAGTAGCACTGATTCACAGACATATAAAGCCAGATTCCCAGCAGGTTGCCCAGATTCAGGAATCGATTTGTGTATCTTTTGCCTTCAACAGCAGCAGAGATCAGCTGCTGCCAAAATGTGCCTGTGGTCTCAGTTGACAGTGGAGTTACTCTGGGTCTACATGGGTCTACATGATAGATACAGCCCTTCATTTAAAAATAAATAAATAAATAAACTGAAGAACAGGAGTGCCAAAAATGAGCTCTGCTAGCTACTGTCTTGTCTTCTTTGTTCAGCTAGCTGAAAGCTGAACACAGATACTGTAATCACGTTAAAGAAAAGGGCTGTGAATGAACAACACAGTAAGTGTTGCGGGAGGAAATGGGTTACCCTAGTCATTCTTTAATTAGGTGAACATATATGGAAAATACACAGCGGGGAATGAGCCTCACTGCATTGTCCATCTGCCCACTGGGAGGTGGGAGAAATGAAAATGGCAGCGTAAAGCCAGTTCTGATAAGTTTTGAGCATTACATTACTGCTCACCTCAAGCTTTTCATTGTGGAATATGTAAAAGGTTTATTAATGTCACTGATGAATACAATCTCATCAATTTAATGGCAAATATCCACATAAATTATTATACTGCTCAAAACTATAAAGGAAGACTATCTTGGAAATAAGTAAAGTGCATTTATATAGCCCTGTAAAGACATTCAGCACTTCAGAAAATATTGAGTAATATACATAAGCCTATTTTAATAATGTGAAACATTTCACCCTGATGGCACATCGATATATCCATACTATACAAAGCTTTTCTAATGTTCATTAAATTGTCAAAAACATTCTTACCAAAAGAGAATCTGTTACAATCACTTATCCTCAAAGAACATGGTATCTTCTGCCTTTATATCTTTTCTGTTTACTTTTTCTCTTCACATCATAAAATGTCTCTTCCTGAAATGACATGTGCAAACAAATAAATGGACCTATAGTAGTTAATTCACTACTCTAGATATCCTTAATAGACAGTCTTCCTTTACCTTTAGTACTGGAAATGCACCCTTTACTGGTATTGAATGAATTATCACCATATGTAGACCTGAATCCAGTGTGTATGTGTTGTCTTGTTTCTGCAGACTGTTATTGTAACCCTTTTGGTTCAGTCCATGATCGCTGTAATGACAGAGGATTTTGTGAGTGTAAGGAGGGAACATCAGGGCCTAAATGTGATAAATGTCTGCCGGGATATATCTGGCACAGCTTGGGCTGTCAACGTAAGTAACTCTGAGAGTCGCCCCTCTCCTGCAACTTTGCTGCCTCTGCGTCTGTATGCTATCACGTGCAGCTACTTAAGAGCAGAAAATGAGCAAAACGCTCTACGAGCTGTAAGAACGCCATACTGCCTGAACCTTTTCGGAGACTCCCAGATGAGGACAGTAAATTGACTGTGCCATCCATTTATTTCAGTATGCTTTCAGTGTCCTCTCTCTTTCTCTTGCTAATGCCTGGAGGAGCTCCCACTGCAATATGTAAATATGCGTGTCTTGCCAGCTGTGAAATAAGTTTTGTATATTAAAACATCAGCATATTAACTCCAAATTCAAAATTCTTACTCAAAGACTAAAGGTGATTTCTCTCCATGTTCACTTTTGTCCTGTACTAAACTTCAACTTCTTGAGTAACTTAACTATGCTTTCACACCTTAAAACTATGTCCCTGGACAATAAAACTGCAAAACACTGGCTCATTACCTGTTATAATTAGTGAAAACTAGACAAAAGCTACAGGTAAAAAAAAAGGAAGTATACTTAACATCCTTAAAAATAAAAGCTGAAATTTTGCGTAAATATTGCTAAAGCAGGTGTTGTTTCAATGCTTAGTTGTATATGTAGCTTCTCTTCTGGTTAACAGGTCATGTAAACAAGCGAGTGGAAATACCACATCGGTATGTACAGGATTAGACTTTTGCAAATTTCTTTTGTAGTAAATTCTTAAGATTTATTCTTTATAACTGTTTTGATCATCTACTTCCAGAAACTCTGGAGAGTCCTCTCATGTTTTTCTTTCACCTTTTCTCCCTGCCTCTCTGCATTCTTCCACACACACATTAAAGAGATTTCTACAAAAGCTTGCTTTTGATTTTTAAGAGTGAGAAACACAAGAGAGAATGTAATTACTGACACTGATTAGCCAAATATTATAAAATTGGCCATATAGCCATACAGCTCTAAATGCTGTAAAACAAATGCAAATCTTATATCATAAATTTTTTTTAAAAAAACAATAAAGCTAGAGATTACCACTGCCTCTCCAAGTGATGAGTACATGTGAAATAGAAAATCTGGGCTTGTGACAATTCAGCAAATATATCTAGAAAGAAAACCAATAAAGAAAGAACTTCAGGAAAGACTGTGATAATTAACCAATTAGCATTAAAGCTAGTACATGAAGAGAAAGGAATTTTGCATGGGCGACGCAGTTAAATGTTACCCGAGAAAATTGGACTTTCTCAGCTTCTGCCAGAAAGCTCCTGTTTATATTTGGCAGGTTGTTTAAACCATACTTTTCACATGTGGTTGTTAACCGTATTCTCATTTTCTGGATGCTTGCACTTGAGTTTCGATTCACAGAATTATTGAGCACTTACAGTTGCAGCAGAAAGCAGGCAAAGTAGTGTTTCAAATCTCAGAGTTCTCTATTATTAATATTTTGAAAAATCAGATCCTAGGTATCTCAAAAAAAGCACTCGGAAGTCATAGGATCTCCCTCTGCATTGCACCCCTTATGTAGAAGGAGGTTGTCACCACCCCTGTACCTTACCCTAGGTACTGACAAAATAAGCATTAGAATTTGTGAAGCATTGAGATATTGTAGTGACAGGAACCACAGGCAAAAAAAAAAAAAAAGAAAAAGGAAATCAATATGATTCTCTGCAGTAGAATTTGAATAAAGTACAGTAAACACCATGTCCGCACAGTGGGTCTGAGAAGATACTAAGTAGCTGAGATATTGGACAGGTCTGGAGGTCTGTGGAGCAAATTTTACAGTCATATAATTAATATAATAATATATATACCAGCTTGTCAAAATGATTCCTTATTAAATGCAGTATTTCCTATCTTTTCAAGTTTGGACATTATGACCCCAATAATGTTCTTTTAATGAGGATTTTTTGAGCCCAACATATAATTAGCCTGATTTCAGCTGAATCAGAGTATTTGTAAAAGCTTTAGACAGTTTCTGGAAATGCAAGCTAGTGCCTTTATATTTGCTGACACAACTAATTAAGTTTCCCTCACTGTGTTGTAATTTTCTCAACAAATCTCAGTCTGATTGTGTAACTGTTAGATATTCTCCAAGTTTGACCAAATTATCTAATCAAATTCAGAAGAAAAACAACTAGATGCGGTTGTCAGTTTTATGGAACAGACATGAAATTGCCACATTTTACCAAGCACACACTGATTTAAATCTCATTTTTAAGTCTTTTCGTGGAGGAACAGAATTCCAATTCATTTAATTTTGTAGTGTGGCAATTTGAGCAAAGCTCAAAAAGATTATTTGTCTGGACATGTAGCATGTGGTTTTGATCTATTTCCCTGAGCTTGTGCTGTACAGAAAGGTATATATGCAAAGACGGATACACGCACACACTCAACAGACCAATATGTGTTTGTTTACTTTTTGTTATACATAGCCTATTGGCATTATTAAGAAAATCTATTCTTATGGAGCTTTGTGGCTAAAAATAATTGACCTAGGGCAACCAGAAGCTTGACCTATAAATAAATAAGTTAAATCTATACCATAGCTAGTTATGATTACTTGTATGATTGTATTAGTAAATGGAGTGGCTTAGTTTTATATATTAGTAATCCTATTTGGGAAAACCAACGCTACAGTCTTGTGGTGTTTTCTAAGGCTCACAATATATCATTTGATAAATTACTGTTCATAGTTTACCTTATACCACGCATGGGCAAAAGACACAGAAGCTATTATCCTCAGAGGTATTCATTTATGTACCTCACTCTTACTGATTTCATCTAAAACCTTTGAGGATCTAGGCAGAGCGCTCATCACTTGAGTCTCTTTGCATACAGAGGTCAGATGCAATTTCAGACTTTGCCTCCAGATAAAAAGCACCATGATAACAGCTGTTATCGTATTGAATTCAGGGTTTATGCTGCATAGGCATAGCAGTCAGCAGGGTCTGGTTGGTACAGGAGGGTTTGCTGCCCTCAGAAAAAGAGGCACAATAGATGCGACTGTGCCTTGCACTACTTCTAAGCCCTCCCCCAGAACCATTCATGCCGCAGGCGTTGTGCGTGCGGGGAAGCTGCTGGGGTTTAGCTCTCTGCCTCCCTCCCAGATACTGCCAATGGTTTTCTCACCAGCATGCATACATAGATCAAAGCGCAAGGAATGAATTAACAATAGAATAGTCTGTTCAGTCTGGTCCTGAAACCCTTTTAGAATTTCAGAAACATGAGAAAATACATAGCTATATTTCATTTCTCTGTTTTATAGAAATTAAATGATTTCCTTTAAAAATGAACATAAATACAGAAGAAAAAGCTCCAAGCGTGGCAAGAAATTTAACCAGCAACTCCAGCTGTTTTGGGCCAGTCTTAAACTGAACATAGTGCTTTGTGATAAGAGGAACCTGTAACAAAAGGTTGAAACGTTTACACACAGAAGAACTGCCCGAGTTTTAAAAAAATGGATGAAGACAAAACATTAAGCAGGAGCATTCATTTGATTTTCTACCTGTACTGCTCATAGTCTTGCATCTTTTGTATTTCTTGGCCATGACATTTCAGGTGGCTAAATTCTGTTGCATACATACAAGAGCATTTAAAAATAACACCTTTTAATTTCACACATACAAGAATTGATTCCAAAACCAATCCAATCAGGCAAAAAAAAAATTACTCTTTTGCCAATCTCAGTTTGCCAGCACAGCTCGAATTTTCGTTGGGCGTGATTGCCTCACAGGGGAAAAGGTAAGGGAAGGTCCAATGATTAATATTATTCACTGTCTCCCTTGATACAGTCAATGAGCAAATAAAGACGTTGAACCTGCAGCCCCACAAAGGCCTAGACCGAGTACAAGAGTCACCAATGGTAGCTTGTACCCGAGTTAAATCCGGTGTGTTATTTATTGTGAATCACTGTTTTAAATCATCTTGGTTCAATGGTGTAAATCTTAAAACAATTAGCAAATGAGTTTTCAGCTCATTTCACGTCAAGCTCTGAATAGTTTATTTTATTTTACCCTTTTTTGTTCATTTTAAATAGTTTTTATTAAAGCAAGCAAAGGATTACACTCTTATCTTCAATGCTCAAACTGCACTCAGTGCTTGTATCTGTCTTCCAGACTGAACTCGTATTACTCTGCAGCCTATTAGATAATTCATATGCTGTCACAGTGTGCATTCAACTTATTATATGATTATTTAAATATAAGCTTTTGTGTGTGCATTTTATTATGTGTTACAAATGCTAGAAGCCGAGGCATTTGATCAAAATCATCATGCAGATTGAATTGCTGAAGAAAATCAAACCTGAAATTGTAACCCTGGAACTTATATTAACATTTGCTTTTGGAAGTTTGTGTTTACAATTCAGCAAGAAAAGATATGTTACCATCCATTTCTCTAAAAAAAAAAAAAATCCTTCTTGAAAAAATACATCATGCACTTCTTTCTAGACAGATTAAATACATAAATGTAACTGTCTCCCCCATTGAAGGTTAGTGATCTTTTATACATGTTTGTACACAGATGTATCCTGTGAGTCTTTCAATACCTACACATTGAATTTGTGCCTGGGGAACTATATGCTGTAAAAAGAAATAGAAATTCAGAACTGGGATGCCGTGCCTTGCTGTTCACCTTTGCAACTGCCTGTGTGAGGAGCCATAGACAATCCATCTATATCTTTTTATATCTTTTTACATCTATTTACCAGTAGCAGTTTTAATGCTTTTAGCTGGTCAGGATACACTGGGATTTCCCCTCTGCACAGGTGCTGTACGTACTTTCAGTTCTGGTGTGTTTTGGTGCCAGGACTGGTGCTAGTAAGTGCACTGCCACACTTGGAGCTGGAGGGAAGTAAAACATAGAAAGAATTTATTGAAAAGGATAACGTTCTGATGGGGCTGAACATTGCTGTCCCCAAGGAACAATCTGCCCCTGGTCTTTATACATGAAATACTGATTTCACAATACCTATCTTACATGATTGTTATGCAGACTAAAGAAATTGTGTG